ACCATTCCGTGCTCGAAGCGTCTGCCTCCGGCATCGAGACCTTGTTCCAGTCAGCCTGAACAGTTCTGGGCGGTTGTGAAAGCAGAGAGGTCTCCTTTCTTTGCCTTTCCTGGCAGGGGATGGGGTCTCTACCTGGCGCCTGAGAGCGAGGGCTGCTCCCCAGGGAGGACGAGGCGGCTGCTGGAGGTCAGGCCCTCCCCAGCAGCCCCCATCTCCAGCCCGAGACGCAGCCAAGCCATCGGTCAGGTCCCAGGTGAGCAGCTCGGAGACTGGACTGGACATGAGGCTCCAGCCTAGGTCCAGGGCGCACCCGAGAGCAAGGGGTGAGGGTGGTTACAACTACCGAGCAGCTCGGGCAGGGTATGGAGGCCCAGGCATGAGCTTCAGAGGAGCTTCTGGGCCAGCAGGCAAGAGGGTGCAGGCTGAGGGTCTTGCCTGAGGCTGGTGAGGCTCATTAATGCCCATTGGAGGCTCTGACATCTGCCTGGGCTGCCTCAGAGGGAAGATTTCGGAGTGTTTGTGGCCAAGGCTGCTTTTCCTTGTCTGTCTGGAGCCTCCCCCCGGCACAGTGAAGGCCTGACTTGTACCTGCAGGGAGGATTTATCTCCAGATCTTGGAGTTGCGTGATGCAGGTAGTCCGAAAGCTCACTACCGCTGCCGTTGCTGCTGGAGAGCTCCACTATGGACAGCAACGTCTGCATCCGTCCGTGAAAATGTACATACAATAAAAGCAACTTTGGTTTATGTTCAAATTGTATGTTTTGCACTCCCGGGAAGCACCTTTCATCAAATGAGCGAGTTTTCCTTGCTGCCATTCTGCTAGCTTTTGCAATGCTGAAAAAGCCCTGGGTTCCAGCTCCAGGCTGGCTGTGCCGCGGTCCGGGTCATGAGCATTTCTGCTCAGGGGAAAAGTTGCGGGCACTTCTTTTCCTGACTTAATGTGCTTACCTGGGAAGAGGCACCTTTCATGTTCTGAGCATGGGATCTCGTAGTCGGAGACCCTGCTCTTGTCAGGTCAGTGAAGAGCTGGTGGTGTGCTCGCTGCCTGGGGGGCTGCAAGGATTGCCAGTACCCCCAGGTCCTATCCTGCAAGAAAAAAAGAGACATATGCTCTTGGGTGGTAAGCGCTCTCAGCTTTTGTGAAAGCAAATGGAAGCAGAGAGTGCTCAGTACTTTGAGTATCAAACTGGTTGCAGGTTTAGCTGCAGAGAAAAAGAAGATGCCTTTCTGGGTAGCTAGGAATCTTAAATGCCTGAAAAGTGCCCTTTGCATTCTAAGACAGGAGTTACTGTATGTTTAATGGTCTGTTATTGGAGTGTTTCAAAACACTCTGTAATCCCGACCACAGGCCGCTTCCTACTCATCCCGCTCCGCCCTCCTGGAGCGTCCCTGGCCAGTGGAGCTAGCATGGCTCCCTGCTGCTGCTGCGTCTCCGTGCCTCCCCGCAGCCAGGCACGCAGCACGAGCTTCTGCAGCCTCTGTCCTCGGGCCGGTGGAGCTGTGCCGCGAGAGCATGTTCTGCCAGCTACAATCCCTTCGCAAGAATGGAGTGTCTTCGCTGTGTCTGGTCACTAAGCAAAATTAGAAGATGACCCTGGGTTGGTTTTCTGCTGAAGTGATGTATTAAAATGGTCTGATGAGCAGCGGAAGGCAAACAGCAGGAGAGTACAGCAAGGAGAGGATGGTACAGCTTTTGGAGAGCGGTAAGCTGCCAGATCAGCTCCTGGTGCCTCAGGGAATCTCGCCCAAAGGTGCGCTTCCTTGGGCAAGCTGACCCGACGGCTTGGGCTTTCCGACTCCATCCTCACTGCCAGCTGCAGAATCGCTCCCCCACGGAGGGGTGAGCACACGTGTTGGGCTTTTAGTCAACCTGCGCTGGGTAACCGCCGGTTTTCCCTTGGATTAGCAAACTAAACCAGCTCCGAGGGTTGCCCAGCGCTCAGCAGCATTAAGGCTACCTAGGCTGTCGTGGTGGGGGCAAAAGGGGACCCCCGCCTTCCAGCAGTGCTGAGCTGTGCCACGTTGCGCAGAGCTCAGCTTGGGGCTGCCCTTTTGTGTGCTGGAGTGGGCGATCCAAGGGCCCCCCGACGCGACCCCCCCTCCCCAGCACTGTGCTGGATGTCTGGAAGCTGCTCCAGCTGGCCCAGTGCAGGCGGCCGGGCCGTGGGAGGCGCGGGCCCGGGGCCAGGTCCCTTCAAAAAAAAAACGCCGTGCCGGCAGCGGGAGCCGAAGGCGCAGGCGTGCTGTGCTGGTGCAGTGCTTGCAAACTCACTGCGGTCTCTGGACTGCTTTGCCGTAGGCTGGCTGCCCTAATTTTCCCTAAAACACACATGCAACTGTACGTTTACTCCTTAAAATGCCTTTCACCTCTACGTGCCAGCTTCTAGTCTAGGCAAGATCACTCCTGGTTGTAGCTGTTCCATGGTTTGCCAGCTCGACTGGCCGTCAGGCCCTCTGCGCCATGGCACCGCAGGGGACGGGCTTTGCAGGCACTTTTGGGACCCCAAATCCCTGTTCTTGACCCCGGGGTAACAGGTTTTCTAGCTTTTTTTCCTAATCTCTCCTCTTCAGAAGACCGATTCCTTCAGGCTCGCCCAGGCGCGGGGTTCAGCCTGGTTGCTCTCGCTGGGCGGCGGGGAAGGTACCAAACGTTGTGGCAGTTATCACAAGAGCAGATCCTGGCGCCCAGCTGTCCCGCCGGTGTTTCCCTCAGTCCCTCCCCGGACAGCATCCACTTAGATATTCTCATCCATCAGGCATAATTAATGATCCACCATCATAATTGACTGTTTACCTTGGGTATACATGAGCCAGACTCTCAATCTCCACCGTATGTTTAGTTAATTCTGTAAATTTTGAGAAGTTTCTTTCTTGCCGTTGCACAGGGCTGGTCCCGAATCTTCCTCCAAGACGCCGGATTGCCAAACACGTGTCAACAGTCTGAAGTACATCCTGTCCAGGGAAGAGAAGACTCCGGTGAGGCAAAGAATTCCAGTGAAACATCCAGACTTTAGCTCACTTGGTCAACTTTGAATCTTGCTGGGAGCCCAGGGACCATCCCAAACCATTAGGAAGTCATGCAAGTTCTAATAATTTTAATCTTTCTTTAAAAAAAAAATATATATATATATAAAATCTATACGCTGCTGCAAACTCAAATTTCAGATTCAGATGTCATCCTACAGGGACATCTGCTCCCTAGCATTTATCAGTCTTAGCAAATAAAATAAACAAGCATGGGAAAAACCTATAGCCAAATTATGAGAAAATAAATTCCATGAACACGTATACCAACAAAATAATGGGAGATTAAGGTCTGTAAAAGTCATATGTTATTTATTCTGGGGTTTTTTTCATTAGTGCTTTGGCTGTATTTCAGGAACGTGCCACTTCTGTGACAAGCTGTACGTGCTACATTAGCACAAGAACTTAAAATATTTTTGTGTCCCTAGAGCTGGGACATTCTGTAAGCACTGTCATCATTGTACAAAAGATTTTCAACTCTCAATAAATTAGAACCTTACTATTTCTCCAACGTAGTTTCCCTGCTTCTTGTGCTGCAATTAGGGCATTTAAACTTGGGAGGCTTTATACTTGACTGCTTCGAGGCTTGGTCAGGCTGAAGTTTGGGGTTTGAAAGTCAAACTGTTTGCCTATGATTAATTTTTTGTAAATTTTAGGGACAGAATAGGGGAGGATTTGTACTGGACAATCGCATACTAATCATTTGGTCGTAATAATGAAGATAAAGTAGAGCAATCCAGCACAGCTGGCTTCCCCCCCCACCCAAAGAAACACTGAGAACGTTCCAAGATAGAAACGAGCAGACTCTTAAAATCAACAAGACGACTTTGCTGTCGGAAGCGCTTGC